ACTTCCACTTTTACCAGAGTATTTTTTAACACAAGTATCTGTACTTTTACTCAAGTACGGAAAGTGAGTACTTTTGCCATCTCTGCTTTTACCTCAGAACCCATGATGCTACAGGTTGTGTAAGAACTGAAAAATGATTTTATTTGAAGTCAGATATTAGTCCACATGACACAAAATCATTCACATAGAACGAAACGATCCATGTGGAACAGAATGAGCCACATTGTCCAGAAAAACAGCACATTTGCAGAACGATTCACGTTACAGGAGGATCTACATGGGTCATTAGCTACCACCCCACATTGCCTTGTTCAGGCAGAGGAGCTCTGCCAATAAGTGTTCTTTGCAACAAAAAGGGAACAATATTCACTTTATATTTGCTATATAGATTGATAGATCTGCATGATGCAGATCGATTCAACCGTCACGTGTGCTGCTGTTCATGCTCCAAGTTCACTCTGATGTTTGAGGTCATCCTAACCCTCTCCACCCAACCCCGAAAACCTGACCCTGAGGAGGAAACACATTGTGAGTGTAAAGACTTTAATGAATAACAGTTCACATGACCTGTTAGGTCACACACCTGCCACACCTGCCACGTGTGTTTTCCTGGGAAGTGATGTGGTGCTTTCCAGGAATGAAGTGAAATAAAAACATTTTAAAAGACAAGTGAAGGTCAGAGAGTTTTACAACCGACCGTGAATCACTGACGGCTCGGCTCACCTGAGGCCGACCCTGCAGGTCCTCCCTGCCTGCAGCAGGGGGCGCTCACTGATGGAAAGGATGTCCTGTGGTTTAAATGAGAGAAACTGCCAGAAGTGGCCTGTTTCTGTAGGGCAACAAACAACTGACCAAAAATAGGGAGTGAAATATCAACTCAAAAAGGGTGAAAATCTATTTCTACAATTTCTACTTGTGATCTATTTTGAATTCATTCATATTATGAATATGAATGAAACACTATAAACAAGTGATACTAGTATAAAACTATAAAACTAGTGATAGCATAAAGGATCTTAAAAAAATGATAGTGAGTAAAATAAAACGCACATTTGCCAAAAATGATCAAATTGATTGTTGGAGGAGGACACCTTCGCTGATTTAAAGATTTCCTACATTCTGTTTGTTCTCCTGTTTCTCAATCTGTAGGCTGTACTCTTCCTCAGCTGTTCCTTATCAGATCATTATTATAAAGACTGATTCACTCACTAAACTTCTGTTTTTTTTCGTGTTCCTACCATTCTCCAGCATCATTATGGTCCAGAAATCATTTCTCTACTGTTTACCCTCACATTTCACAGGCTTGTGGGGGAATCTAGTAGGATCTAGTTGTCTTTAACGAATCATTTCAGAAATTTGGATGATCTGTTTCCCGGTGATGATCTGATTTCTTTCGATTTTCTGCAGTCTGGTTCTGGTGTTGGAAAAATGTAATCAAGTCCCTAATACCTCCTGGTTCATTAAAATCCCTTTAGTTTTCTCAAACCTCCTAGCTGATTAACACTTCTTAGCTCACTGAAAAAACTATTTGTTATCACCTCCCGGTTTATTAGCATCTCTTAGCTCGTTAACACCCCCCACTTTATTAACATCTCTTAGCTCGTTAACACCTCCCACTTTTTTAACATCTCTTAGCTCGTTAACATCTCCCACTTTTTAACATCTCTTAGCTCGTTAACACCTTGCAGTTTATTAAGATCACTTAACTCGTTAACACCTCCCACTTTTTTAACATCTCTTAGCTTGTTAACACCTCCCACTTTTTTAACATCTCTTAGCTCGTTAACACCTCCCACTTTTTTAACATCTCTTAGCTCGTTAACATCTACCACTTTATTAACATCTCTTAGCTCGTTAACATCTACCACTTTATTAACATCTCTTAGCTCGTTGACACCTCCCACTTTATTAACATCTCTTAGCTCGTTAACACCTCCCACTTTTTTAACATCTCTTAGCTCGTTAACACCTCCCAATTTATTAACATCTCTTAGCTCGTTAACACCTCCCACTTTTTTAACATCTCTTAGCTCGTTAACACCTCCCACTTTATAAACATCTCTTAG